TGCAATACCGAGAATGTCTATTTAATTCTCTGGGCCTGTTGCCTCGTTTGTAAAGGAAGTTAAATGAACTCTGTGGGCCCCTCCCAAAAGCGAGGCTCCAAGATTTAATTCTGACCACATAGTTTGTTCCCTTTTTTGCCTGGAAATTATATAACCTTGTAGTTATGATGCACTCTTCTCCTCCAGCTGTAACATGCGCCTGAGATTCTATTTGGCTTTCCAGAATTTGCACGGAAATAATTATGACAAAGCAAATGCAATAAAGGGTCTCCTTTGAATGCAGATGGGAACTATAAGGGTTAGCTATTTGCAGAAGAGGTCACTAATGGAGCAGGTCATTATGTTTTAATATCACACCAGAAACGCAGAAAAGGACCCTGGCATGTCGGGGAGAATCATCAGGAATCCTTCCAAGAAGCCAGTCCTATTTCACCACCACTCCAGCCCTGTTCTGGGGAAGAACAGCACTCCCCTGGAATAGTTTCTTAACCTCACATATTTGGTGGTCTCTTGGATTCTCTGTACAACTAGGGGCTTTTAGCATGATATGAAAAGAGCCACAAGTGTCCCCCAGTCTTCACAGGTTTTATGAAGCATAGGGAAGTGGAACGTTGCTGGCGGTCCAGGTGTCCCACAAGCCCAGCAGCTGCTTTCAGGGGTGGAGACCCTGGGAGCGCCTCTGACTGTGGTGATTTTCTCACTTCTGAGCACTGTGGCCCCATCTTAGTTCAAAGGAGAGGCTCTAATGGAACAACACGTTAGGCTTTCTGTTTGTGTTTCCTTGAGGGCTTCCAGTTTACCTTCAAGGCTCCTTGGAGTTCCAAATTTCAGCAGTTTTCTAAAAGTTTCATTCACTGAATAGATATAGATGGAGCATTTACTATGTGAATTCAGAAGCGAATAAGGCAAACAAGCTCCCTCCCTGCCCTCATGGATGGAATATGGAGTCCTGTTTCGATCAGCATAGAGACCTAGAGCGGGCTGCTTTTTCCTCCACGTGAGAGTGATAGTTGAACTTCACAACAGCCTGAGAGTAGACATTCTTAGGACCAATGCACAGATAAGGCAACTGAGACTAAGGAGATAAGATAGTAAGTGGAGTCCATCTGACTAATTCCTTCATACACGGCACCTAAAACAAGGTGGTGAGGCTGTGCCAGTCCTTTAGGACATCGGTTGACAAACTAAATCATGTGGTCCAGCCATCCAGCTGCATACATGAAATTTCACTAAAACACAGTTATACCCATTCCTTCATGTATTTTCTACAACTGGTTTCCCACTGCAACACCAGAGTTGAGTAATTGCAAAAGGGACCTTATAGCCCACAAAGACAAAAAATATTTTCCATCTTGCCCTCTAAAGAAAAAGTTTGCCACCCCTCCCGCCTCAGAACTGCCCCCTAGTTAGGGTAATGAAAGTTCCTGGAACAAACCACAAAAGTTTAATGGCTTCACACCTTTTTTTTTCTTAAATTTATTTCTCAATCACACACTAGCCCAGCCAGGCTATTCGTGGGCAAATATAGCGGTCAGGTAGGGACTCTGCTCCAGAGACCCAGATTGATCATTGCTCTAAGGGCAAAAACATCCAGCCAGCAAACAAGGGTGAAAGGGATCATGAACAGGAAGTTTTTATGGGCTAGACCTGGAAGGGACACCCATTAATCTGCCCATATTCTATTGGCCAGAATTCAGTCACATGCATAGGATATTAAGAAATGAAGTGTACTAGAATGCCCAGGAAGAAAAGGAAACAGGTTTTGGTGAACACAGAACAGCCTCCACCACAATCCCTAAATGCTAATCATCCTTACACCCAGAAAAAGTCTCTGGCTGTAACTTCTCAAACCTGTTTTAAAGCTCACATTCAGTATGAGTGTGTTTAAAAAACATTGCTTAATTGAGCCCTTACCTTTTTGAGTATATACTGAAATATGTACATATGAAATGATATATAATGAATTTGCTTAAAATAATCTGAAAGGGAGGAAATTTATGAGACTATTGAGAATACACATAAGACAAGATTGCCAATAAGTTTTGTTGAAGCTGGCTTGTGAGTAGGTAACGATTTATTATATTACTCTCTTTACTTTCTAATATATTTAAAAATTTGCATACTAAAAAAAATTAAGGATTACATTGAAACTACTCTTTGCTATCTAGCACCAATCTTTAGCAAAATAAAATAAAATAAATAAAATCCTGGTTATAATAGGTCACAACATTCTCTGGAATGATATGAACTATAGGTGTTCTGGTATTGTTAATTTCTCTTACTTCCTTCAAATATTCCAGTCAAACAAGCCTGCCTATAATATAAATGGGACCAATAATGAAAGACAAAATCTATGTGAGAACAGTACAACCAAGAGGCAGAAGAGTTATAAATATTAATGTCAGACACCTATGGTACAAGCACTCTAAGAAGAGGTAATCTATTAATTGGGGTATAAACAAATACCAGATTGGTTACATGCATTTTAAAAACACTGATTTAGCAATTACTCTGAGCAAGGTATTGTCTCAATTATACCAGCTGCTGTGCAAACATCCCTAGATCACAATGTCTGTGAACAGTTTTATCTCACTTGCGCAAGGTTCAATGCAGATATTCCTGGTCCAATTGTTCTCTTTTGAGCAGTAACTCAAGAGTTCCTTTCACCTTAAAGTCCTTTGCCATGTAGAAAGAAAAGCGAGAGCTGGGCGCATTGGCTCATGCCTGTAATTCCAGCACTTTGGGAGGCCGAGGTAAGTGGATCATTTGAGGTCAGGAGTTCGAGACCAGCCTGACCAAAAGGGTGAAAACCTGTCTCTACTAAAAAATACAAAAATTAGCTTGGCATAGTGGTGGGATTCTGTAATCCCAGCTACTTGGGAAACTGAAGCAAGAGAATCGCTTGAACCTGGAAAGCAGAGGCAGCAGTCAGTGCACTGAGATCACACCACTACACTCTAGCCTGAGCAACAGAGCAACACCGTCCCAGAAAATAAAAATAAAAATAAAAACAGAGAGAGAGAATGAATGAAAAGGGTAAAAAAAGGAAAGACAGAGTGTATGCAGATAATCACTCAGGATGTTTTGTGGTCAGACCAGGAAGGAACAGAGCTCTTCACAGTCCAACCCAGATTCAAGTATACCTAGAAAATGTCTCATAGCCATGAACCCAGACAGAAAATGAAATACTGGGATGGAGTGGAGGCGGGGGGATCCTCCAAAATGTTCTACCACAAAGGTAATCCTGATCAAGGTCTAGTGGGAAGACAGAAATGCAAAGAGACACAAATGCCCCAAATGTCATAAAATCAATAATAAAGATATGAATAGGGTGCTCTGGACCTTCTGCTGAAAGAGGTAGGATTTTTAAAATTCTCATCAGCAGCTATAGGTATAATTTCATAAATGTGCTTGAAACATAATTGGTTTAGGGAGGCTATTAAATTTGTAATTCTTTTTCCAGAAAAATTGTAAGCCAGTGTTTCCTAACTCAAAAACAAAGCCCTGCTGGCAAGCCTGGTTTGGCAACTGGAATCATGGATTATGGATGTTTATCAATACTCGTTATGTGTGCTTATTGGCACATAAACTCACCTGGAATAGGGGTCTCTCAGCATGAAGGGATTTTAATAGAATTCATTCATACATTTGTTCAACATTTTATAAAGACATCTGTCCCCAAAATTCAATTTGCAATTTTTACAACATTTTACAAAGACTTTGATCCCCAAATCTCCATTTACAATTTTACAAGAATTTACATTCATTGCAAAGGTTTCTTTACAGAGTTTTTTAAAGGTCATTTTTTCCCTTGGGTCCAAAACTGTTACTTTTAGATGAGAGGAGAGGCAGCTGAGGCTTACATGTGTAGACTGTGTGTGATGAAAGGGCAAGACACAGCAGCCCCTGGATCCTAATTCAGACCAGCCTGCCTCTGGCAATAGAAAAGTCATTTGTTGCTGCAAGCCCATATCATAATCTGGCACAACTGGAGGTTAGAGCCACCCTTAAAACTCTTTGGGTATGGGATTCTAGTTTGCCATCTTAATTTATATATTCTATTTCGGCGCTGATTCTCCAGCCCTTTCCCTTTTAAGTGATCCTAATTAGAAAACATACAGGAGGATCCTTCCAGGATTTAAAAGCCTCTGAGCTCTCCTCTTTGATCTCCCATTTGAACTAAGGACGGTTACTCTTTCAAGTTTCCCCCCTCCCCCACACCCACGCGCCAGTTGATAGTTATTGGCATTTTAGAGCCTGGAGATAGAAATAAGATGTCTGAAAGGCCAGCTGCCTAAAAATCCAAAGCAAGCACCCCTCCAAACATCTCCCCTCCTCCCCCGCACATCCCCCCAAAAAATACTGAAAAGGAAAAAATATAGCAGGCTCTATAAGCAGCTGCCAATTTATTAATAAGATGCTGAAGCTAGTTAGAATTTTAAAGATGCTTTAGGCATCTTTAAAGAGCCATCACGTCCCTTCCTCTCCCTGGCACAAATAAACCCAGCCAGCAGACCCTTCATTAACCACCGCTGTTTAAATTCTGCAAAGTACGCAGTGACCGGAGGAACTTTCGGAACGGTGCAAGGGTTTGGTTTGTCTTAATTTGGGTAATACTTGGTTGAGATGCCTTGCGTGAACTCAAAAGTATTTAAATTAATAATCTTACATCAATTTCTAGGACTCGGAGGAGGAAGGTAGGAAATTGGGGAGGAGAGAAGGGAGGCGTGCCGGCAAGAAAGTGTTGCTTATTTACTTAATTTCATTCACCAAGGGAGAATTCGGAGGACCCCTCCCGGAGGCACTAGGGTACCGGACGCGGGAAGAGCTAGGAAATGTGTGAAGTGGATGTGTGAGAACACGGGACTAGGGCTTGGCTCTCTGGGAGAAAAGGGCTGGACTGTGCAGGGGAGGAGGAATGCGCGAACCGGTAGGAGGCGGGGAAGCGCACTATAAAAGGCCCGGCAGTACTGAGCGTCCGCTACTCCGAGCCACTTCTGTAAGGCGGGAGCGGGAGCAAGACCTAGGAGCGAAGCGTGCGGTGCCCCTGCCCAACCCAGTCCGCTCTAGCATCCGACGCCAGGACTTCGCGCCCTCAGCTCCACCACCGAGCCCTTTCATTTGCCAACTGCCGCCTGCAGGCATGAGCCGCACGCGGGAGCCCAAGACTGCAGAGCGGTCATGAGGCGGCGGCCCGGGATTCACGGCTCCGCAACGCCAGCCCCCAAATACGCTCTGGGCGCGGCACCTCCGGGATGAGACCCCAGACGCAAGACCGCTGGAGCTGAGATTGACTCCCAGTTCCTGAGAGCCTAAGCCGCTGGCACTGCGCCTCTGCAGCTTCTACACCTGCGCCCCTGACCAGACAGACGCCCAACAAGTCGAACTCCCCTTTCTTCCCAGGCTCTCCCGGACGCCGCGGACGCGCCAACAGCCGTGCCCAGCGAGCGGGCGGCCCAGCAAGTGTCAAGACCCTTCGGGAGCCACACTTTGTCACTCTTCCCTTCCCCAGACTGCTTCAGGCAGGGACACCTGAGTTGTCCGGCGCCCCCTCCGTTTTCCATCACTGCAACTCCAGCTCCACTTTGCCAATAAAGGTTTCTAAACCAGCCCCAAGCCTCCGTGCGCACAAGGACTCTACCCGCGCCCGCCACAGCGACCTCGGCAGCGGGCACTCACTACAGCCCGGCAGGCGGACGCAGACGCCAGGGCTCCCCGGCTACCTCCAAACAGTGACAACCCCGGCGTGCCTGGGGCCCCCTCTGGAACCAGCCATCCCAAGACTCTGTGTGCGGGGCGGCGCGGCAGGCGGCCCCGAGGAGCGCGGAGAGGAGTGGAAGCCGCTTGCTGCGTGAGTGGCTCCGGGCGGCGAGGGCGGGGGAGCCAAGCGTGGAGGTAACTCCCGGCCGCAGTTGAAGCCCTCCTCCTCCTCCTTCTCCTCCTCCTCCTCCTCCCCGCGCTCCTCTGGCGGCCGCTCCCGCCCCAGCTGCGGCGCCGCGGCCACATCTGGGGCGCCCATGTGCGCTCGGGGGCTCGGCTGCGCCCGCCCCGCCGCCGACCCCGCAGCCCCCTGCCCGCAGTGTGGCCTCCGGCCTGGCCCGGGTCCCGGACAGCCCCGGGACCCCGTCCCCGCCGCCGCCGCCGCCGGGCAGCGCCGGGGTTTGCTCCGCTGCCGACTTGGACACCCCCGGCCTCGCGGTGGCTCCGCCGTGGTGCGGCGGCGACGGCGGCGGCGGCTCCTGCTCCCCAGGCCCCGAGCGCCCCGCCGCGCCAGGCGCCAGCCCCGCGGGCCCGGGAAGCGGGGCCCCGGCTGGGGCCGAGGCGGGCGCAGCGCTGCCGGGCTCCCGGGCTCCTACTCCTCCCGCGGCGCCACCGCCCGCCGCGCCGGGTCCTAAAGTCGCGCGTCTCAAGAGGATGGTGCGCCTGGCGGCCGAGTTGCTGCTGCTGTTGGGGCTGCTGCTACTCACGCTGCACATCACGGTGCTGCGCGGCTCGGGAGCCGCCGACGGGTCTGAAGCGGCCACGGGCAACGCGAGCGGAGCTCAGCTGCAGGTGAGTGCGCCGCCGGAGAGGGGCGTGCGAGGCTGCGGGGACCGGGGACCGGGGGTGTGTGTGGTGGTGGGGCGGGGGGCGGTGCCGAGCCGGTGCCTGACGGATGCAAGGAGGCAGGTCTCTCGCCCCACCTAAGAGCGACTGTTTTGGCAGTGGGTTTGCCTGGGTCACGTGACTTAGGCGGAGGTGGAGCAAAGGCAAGTGCCGGGGAGGCTGCACGCGGCTGCAGGTCTGCCGGCTGCTCTTCTCCAGTTCTGTTTGTCTCGGGTCCGAGGAGGGGTTGGTGGGCAGGTGGGAGGGAGGGGGGTTTGGGATGAGAAGAGGAAGTGTGGAAAATGTGCTTGCTAGGGGTGCTGCCGGTCTTTCGTTGCCCTTCGGAGGCTGAGTAATATTACTTCAGGCTAGAGTGATGCAAGGAGACTGTAGGGATAGTATCCCTTAAGTCTTTGGAAGAAAGAACTCCGGGAGTCTGCCCCTTAAGGAAGCAAGACCAAAGGTCGGGACAAAATTTCCCAAAGAGAATAAATAGCCAGGCACCCCCTCCTCAGTCTTAGGATTCCCTTGCCTCCAGTTCCCCCTTGGTCATACGGAGGGTGCAGAGTCAAGGCACCCATAGTAATTTGGACTGGGGTTACCTGGCGTTTTTTAACTTGCAGCAAAGTCTTTCTTCTAAGGATCTCCCCCTTTGAAGGTTGCTTTAGCAGTGGGATTCTGTTTATCCGTTTCAGCTCCAGGGCAAGGGGAGTGCACGGTCAGACACAATGTGAGTTCTGGTTTCTGAATAGAGTTGCCCAGGGAGGCAATTTCTGCCGCTATCTTGGAAAGCGTCTTTCGGCCCGGCCACGATGGCTCTCACCTGTAATCCCAGCAATATGGAAGGCTGATGTGGATGGATCAGGAGGTCGAGAGATCGAGACCATCCTGGCAAACGTGGTAAAACCCTTTCTTTACTAAAAATACTATTAGCTGGGCGTGGTGCCACGTGCCTGTAGTCCCAGCTACTCGGGAGGCTGAGACAGGAGAATCGCTTGAATCCGGAGTCGGAGGTTACAGTGAACCAATATTGTGCTACTGCACTCCAGCCTGGGGACAGAGTGAGACTCTGTCTCAAAAAAAAAAAAAGAAAAAGAAAGCACCTTTCCTTGAGTTTAGGGGTGTGACAACTGTCAATTTGGAGCATAGACAAAAGTAAGCAGGGATTTTCCCGGGAAGCAGAGGGGATTCTCTGGCTCCTAAATCTCCTACTCAAACCAGGAGGGGTGTCTCACGCCTGTAATCCTAGCACTTTGGGAGGCGGAGGCGGGTGGATCACCTGAGGCCAGAAGTTTGAGACCAGCCTGGCCAACGTGGTCCCTCTCTACTAAAAATAGAAAAATTAGCCGGACATGGTGGCACACGTCTGTAGTCCCAGCTACCCCAGAGGCTGAGGCAGGAGAATTGTGCGGTTGCAGTGAGCTGAGATTGCACCACTGCACTACAGCCTGGACAATAAAGCAAGACTCAGTCTCAAAAAAACAAAAGAAATAATAGACATTATTCATTGTTCCCAAAGGACTTTATATTCATTATCTTTGCTAATTCACTTTTTACACCTTTACACAATCTGGTGCGAAAAACTACCGTAAAGAGAAAACTCCTGAAACACTTCCGTAGTGTTTGCTATGTGCCAGTTTTAAGTACTTTACACTTAATGCATTTAGAAAGTGCCTGGCCAAAGGGCGCTTTCTAAGATAGCAGCAGGAAATGCCTACCTGGGCAACTCTGTTCAGAAACCAGAACTCACTTCGTGTCTGATTGTCCACTACACCCTCCCCTTGCACTGGAGCTGAAATGGATAAACAGAATCCCACTGTTAAAACGACCTTCAAAGTCAGGCTGAGTTAAAATTTAACTCACTTAATTTAACCATGATCTTATGAGACATGGTACTGTTAATATAGCCCTTTACAGATGCAAAAACTTTAACAGTGAAGTTAAAAAACTTGCCAAAGTTCAGGCATTCCAAACTCTTAACTACACCAAATTTTGTCTCTACCAGGATAGACTAAAGCAAGGTGATCATTGCATGCAATTACAAAACCAAGAGTAGAAAAGTACACACCCCAAAGCTGAAATTTCTTTTAACTCTGGGACATTTCTAAAAATGTTCTAACTGTGTGGTCTCTCGTCTTCTCCTGTGGGTAAACAGTTACAGCGACAGACTGAGGGAATTTCTATGGGGAAGTTGAAGATGTCCCCATCCTGTAGACTGGGACACCCACCAATCTAACACTGGGATAATTCTTAATATCTGCAAGATTTCTGGAAGTTATATTTTATGCATGATGCTTTCTTTCCTCATGGACTCAGGGAAAGCCATGCAAATGATACTCTGTGGAAAAGTAAATTTGGCAGATTTCTTTATGAGGTGTTTGCTATCATTAGAATAACCTGGGGTTGGCCTTTTCCATTTGAACAGTAAGGTAATGAGAGAAGCAGCTGGGAAGTGGCAATTCTAAAAGGGAAGTGAACTGAATTCTCAAAAGGGGCTTTGGCTGAAGAACTGCCCTAAGAGGACAGAAGAAATGGGGGATTTAGAAAGAGTTAGCTCCTAGAAATATCTTGAGTCCAAGTAGCTGTTAATCCACCAACCACAGCTTTTCTTGTAATAGTGTTCGGTGATACTGTCCACTCGATGCACATACTTTTCCAAGCAGAATGATGAGTTTAGCAGTTTAGTTCATAATTTTGCTGTTTTGTAATTTGTTATTATAAAAGTTTTATACTCTTCCTGACCAAAGTTATTTCTTTGGCCCTCTGACTCTCCAAAGATATTATAAGTCAAATGAAGAATGTTCTGCCAGATGAGGAGGTCTGCAAAAGCCATTTATTAGTCTGTCGTTTTCAGGCCCCAGGAATTGAATTTGCTAGTAGCAGGTGTATTTGAAGACAAAACTGTGGACACTGTATTCTTTCTTTTTACCAGACATTTTAAACCCAAGTCTTAAGTGTTTATCATTTAAATTTGTTGGTTCTATGCTATCCTGATCTGCTAAAATCCTCCTTCATAATCAGAAAATTAATCTGTATATATTATTTTTATTGTTTTTGTTTCTGTGTGCAGCCTTCTGAAATATAAGGTTGACTTAGACAGAAATAGGCAATGGTGAATTTATTTACCAGAGTTGTAGTATGTTTGGATTCATTTAAAAAGGGATGCATTCTTATTTAAGGATATTTCAAGGACACCCAATAAAGTAGTAGTAAGGAAAACAACAATAATAGCTAAGATTTGTTAAGTGCCTTTTATGTGGCAGGTGTTCCTAGCACTTTACACATACTAGCTTTCTTAATCCTCACAAAAATCCCAGAATTAGGTACTATCATTATCCCTGTTTCAAATGGAGAAACTGAGGTTAGGTAATTTGCCCAAGGTTGCACAGCTAGAAGCTTCTTAATTTCTTTTTGTTCTTTTATAGTGGGGAACTATTTGAAGCATACCTCTATTGCAAGTTCTTGATAAAGTCATGCACTCAAGAGAAAGGCTTTTAACAGTTTACATTTTCAACTGTATCTTGACAGTCTTACTGTGTCAACTATGACATATGTATATATACATACATACACATTTTTGTATAAACTAACATGCTTTTGTTAGTTTCAGCATACTAGGGGTTACATTTTTCAACTCTTTGTATGACTGTCTCTCCTAGTATGCCCTAGTGTGCTCAAAACATTGATAGGTATGATATGAGGTGGCAGTAAAATGTTTTGAGCAATCTGTCTGTACTGGTTAACTGGTTGATGAAAATAAAAATGTTAGTCTTTGTACTGTTTTCAATATTTTTAAAATATCTAGTAAGAAATTAGACAACTGTCTGCAATAGCTGCATAAAAATGCATGGAAACATCAGCCTTTTTTGCTTTTGAATCTTGTCTCATTAGAATAAGTTTGTCTCATATTAATCAGATAGATTAGCTCTTTCATGCATCTTTAATTAAAGAGAAAACATAGATGGATATGGATATAGATAAACATATATAATAAAAGTAGTCTGGAAGACAAAATATAGAATCCATAGGCAATAATAGTACTAATAATGATATCTTCTTTGTCTGAAATTCAAATGATTGCCTTCCCACTAAATCTCAGTCAGTTTTAGAATCATAAATTTCTACCTATTAGCAGTAAGCCAGAACTCATTAAAGCAGTGAGATTTAAGCAAGTATTGTAAAAGTAATCAAATTGGTGTTTTATAATAACATTAAAGCAAACCAGACTCTGGAATGTAGTAAAATGTCTTTGTTCTCTATTTCCTATCATCTTTATGAGCACTTTCCATCTTTTATTTCTCTATTGCCTTCAATAAAACAGCTTAGCTTCTTGTATTCACTGCTTTGGATTTAAGAGTTCATCTGAGCCACTTATAGCAGTAGAAGCAAAAGCATAATTTATTTTTACTTAATAGAAGAAAGTCAACAGTCATTTGTGTTTCTTGTTTTGTGACTTGTCTGCTCATTTTGCAGTCAGGCTGATTATTCTTACTGGAATTTTTTTTTAATGATGGATAGTCGCCTCACACAGCTATTGCTGCAGAACAAGCCACCCTAAAATTTAGTGGCTTAACACAACCACCATTTTATTTCCTCATGAATTTGCATGTCAGCACTTTGCTTGGGCTCATGACAGCTGAGTGGTTCTTCTGGTGATTTCACCTGATACTACTCATGTAGCTGTGGCCATCTGCTGGCTTCCTATAGGCTAGGTGGTCCACAAAGACCTTACTCATTTGTATGATAGTTGGTGCTTGCTGTCATTTTGGTTCTCTCTCCATATAATTTCTCAGCCTCAAGGAGTCTAGCTCATATATCTTTACATGGTAGACTCAGAGCAGCAAGAGAATAAAAGTTGAAATTGCAAGACCTCTTGATTAGTTTGCACAGCATCATTTCAGCAGCATTCTATTAGCCAAACAAATCACATGGTTGCTTAGATTCTAGTGGACAGAAAATAAATTCCA